AGTAGCATCCATAATGTAGCCATATGAGGTTTGAGAGTCGTGTTTAGGGGGAGAACTTTACGGGACAAGTGTTAGTGTGTCACTTGTATTTGCCTCTTCGTGAGGTTGTTCTCTCGATATTTTGTACTCTTTTTTATTATAGTGGATTGCTCATCTCCCCATGGATGTAGGTCAGTTGACTGAACCACGTTAAATATTTGTGTCTCTTTTGGTAGATTTATCTTTTGTAGTCGGTCTTATCGTCGTTCAAGATTTGCGTTACTAGCTTCCGCATAACACCTGATTTTTTCGATCCTAACACGGTAATCCTTCTTTCTAAGAGTTCTTAGTCCTAGAGTCCTCATAATCCATTAGGAAGAAGGAACCAGAGATTCAAAACTAAAAAAGATATCATTGTGAAAAAAATTCAAAGTTATTAGATCAGTAACACACCAATATAGATACAAAGTCAGAGAACATAATAAAAAGGAAAAAAAACAAGAATGACAAATTAAATTTGTGGTAGGCATTTATATAAGAAGATAATGAGTCCAATTAAACTATAAGCAATCCTAAAAGAAGAAAAAAAAATTTACGTGAGAAAGTAACATAAAAGAAAATAAAATTGCAAAGATTTCTTTGAAGCCTCATTCACTTTGTTTTCTTTTGTGACTTTTTGGTAATAACAATGTAATGTTGGAATATCACTCTTTTATTCAAAAAGAAGTTTAGAATCTCAATGTTTCTTGCTCTTAAATCTGCATTAATTTCCTTCACCGGTGCATTGATGTTGTTTCAGCCATTATGGTACATTGAAATTAAAAAATAAAGAGATGTAAAGTTGGGGATCGAGTGACTTTGCAAAAATTACATTGAGAGGTATTTGGTCCCCCATTTTAGTATTTCATTGCCAATGATAATTTCACTTGAGGATATCATAGTTTGTTCTATTCTTTATTTTGATTGAAAATTTTCGACTCTTGCAATCATTGGGGGAATATATATCTTAGCAAAATCGACTTGCAAATCACAGATATTTACAAGGCAAAAAGGCGTGTATTCCATGTCAAAATTTTAATTTTTTATTACTTATGAGTATGACATGCTCATCTTACTTGGTAAGAAGCAAGAGCATTGATTTGGTTATCTATTAGATATTTTTCTCTTTCTAAAATTATAAAATACATTTAAAACATGAAAAGATCTAACATATCTATCATTGTATTTTATAATTTTAGAAAGATAAAAATCTAATAGATCAACAAATCAATACGCTCTTGCTGCTTATACAAAGAGACATGATTGTTCAGCAGATCTTAGACATATGACTAATATTCAGCAGGCTCACACTCTTGAGAAAAGGGTAAGCAAATTCAAGTAAAAAATTAAATTATTTTATCATAATACTTTATCTGCTCTCTGAGACATGATCTAATAATAGACAGGGGGTAAAGTAAAAATACCGGAGAAACTGGAAAAAAGAAGGGATAAGAAAAAGTTCCAGGCATTATTGATAATGGAAATAATGCCTATTCCGCAACATTTGAATACTTGTACTTCTTGAAAATATATAGGTGCGCAAATGATACTTACATCTGCAATGATACATGACAAAAAATTGAAATAAAATTTATTATCTTCAAGAAATGAAATTTTTAAAAAAGAAGAGGGTCGTTGAAAGTCTCCCGACGCATGATACGCTATCGTGCGTCATCTGTGAATAGCCATGGCTAGGAAGAGAGGACGACCTGCAAAACAACCCCTCGTGACAGTAGGTAGCTTTGTTAGCGCAACTATAATTGCTGAAACCATTGAAAGAGGAAGATCGCAGCAAGTGGTAACACCGATTGGCAACCTTTCCTAACTAGGTCAATCGATTTGGGGGTGAAGAGTGCCAATCCAGATGTACACAAGAAATTGATCTTAAGCCCACATGCAACACCAAATCAACCAAATATGACCCTAAATCCTGTTATTCGAGAAATTTCTACGGGGGAGATAAGAGAATCAAGAGATACTCCGCTAACTAGGGCGGAGGGAGGAGAACAACATGCAAATGACAAGGCTCTGACAAAACCTGCAGCACCATGAACAACTCGTTTTGCTGGAAATAGCTCTATTGAGAATGGCATGCACCTAACTTACATTGCGCCTGAAATTGAGAATGGGCAGTTTGTCGTCAACATAGATAAAATTGAAATTGAGTGTGAAACTGAGAAATGGAAGAAAGCTCTTATTGTCTATATAATTGGGGAAATGCCTAGGTACAATCATATGAGCAAATACATATCACAAGTTTGGAACAATGTGGCTGAACCAAATTTGTTTCTTCATGAAGAGGGATATTATATCGTTAATTTCAGAACCTAGAAGATTTGAAGGAAGTGTTGTACGGAGGACCTTATACCATCAAAAGCAAGCCAATTATTCTAAAACAATGGACTCTAGATTTTGATTTCAATGATGAATTTTTGACAGAAATTCCACTGTGGGTGAAGTTTTTAAAACTTCCGATGAACTGCTGGGGCACAAATACTCTAATTAAAATGGCTAGCACTATTGGTAATCCATTATTTGTAGACCAATACACAGCAAAACAAACCAGGGTGTCATATGCTAGAATTCTGGTAGAAGTAAATGTCACAAAGAAGCTGCCTACTGAAATAACAATGAAAGATCCCTCTGGTAGAAAATTCCAACAGCAGATTGAATTTGAATGGAGACCGGAATTTTGTGCTGAGTGTTCACAAATTGGTCATGACTGTAACAAGCAAAAAAAATGAAGTGAGAAATGGCTCATTGCAAAGAGCCAAACTTAAGGTGGTTCAAGCATGGAAGCCAAAAGCAAACCAGCAATCAGTGGAGAAAATGCAGAACCAACAACAACCTTTACAGCAGAGTGGAACCAATGAAAGGGGCAAGTAGAATCTTGAAATTGCAATTGCTGAGAACATTCAAGCAGGATGGACTCATGTGCGAGCAAAAGGATCCACTTCAAGTCAGAAATTACCTGAATCAAGCAGACAACAGGAAATAGCATATGGGTAAGACAGGCAACAGAATCAAACTTATGCAACAGTGATAGTGACCAAGAATGGTTTTCAAGCTTTACCTACAAAAGGAATAAGGGAAGAAAACACTAGACCTCCTGATATAGGAGGGGAACTCATAGTATCTCAATGATATAGCTATTTTGGAATGTTAGGGGTATCAATAAGAGGTACAAACAGAAAGAACTTAAGCAGTATCTCATAGATAAACAAATTAGATTAGCTGGTTTAGTAGAAACTAGAGTCAAAGAAAATAAAGCACAATCTATAGCTAGCAAGGTGGAACCTAAATGGGATAGACTAACTAACTATACAGAAGCAATCAATGGGAGAATATGGATTCTGTGGGATGCCAAAAGCTATGAAGTTCAGCACATAGCAAAGGCAGTCCAACTTATTCATTGTCAGGTGACAGGTAAACTGAATGGTATGGTTTGTATGCTCATAGTGGTATATGGGTCAATACAGTAGATCAAAGAAAAACTTTATGGTCTCAACTTGAACATCTGGCTCCCAAGATAAGATACATTGGCTTATATGTGGAGATTTTAATGTTGTGCTAACTCCTCAGGATAGGCATAGTAATCCTATAACTATAGCTGAACTGAAGGACTTCTCAGAATGTTACAATAATCTGTTGCTAACTGAAATACCTTGGAAAGTAGATTATTATACATGGACTAACAATCAAAGAGTGGATGACAGAGTATGGAGCAGACTTGATAGGGCAATTGCAAATGATGAGTGGATAATGCAGTATGGGCACTTGAATGTAACCTATGGGGAACCATTCATTTCAGACCATAACCCTATGCTTATACCACTGAGAGTACCAAGGAGCAATATTAAAGTTCCCTTTAGGTTCTTCAACATCTGGGCAGATCATGAATAATTTAATCAAATTGTAGCACAAGGATGGGCCAGAACTATGGCAATTAGAAAGATGAGGAATGTGTGGTTTTAAACTGAAACAACTGAAGCCAATCTTCAAGCAACTAAACTCAACAGAATTTAAAGGAGTTTCAGAGAAGATTACACAAGCCAGAGAAAATCTGAAAGAGATTCAAGAAATAATGCAGAGCCAGTATTCTGATACTCTAGCTGATTAGGAGAAAGAATGCCTACATCAATTGGAGAAGTGGTCATTGATAGAGGAAAGTGCACTGCAACAAAAGTCTAGGGCTACTTAGATTAGACTGGGTGATTCAAACAACAAATATTTCATAGCCATAATGAAGGAAAAGAAAACTCAGAAGCAAATTCTTGAGCTCAACTCCTTAACAGGTGGTAAACTACAAGATCCAAAAACAATCAAAGCTGAATTTGTTGACTTTTATAAATCTTTGATGGGAACAGCAGCATCTAACTTACCAGTTGTCAATAGATTGGTCAGGAGGAATGGTCCTTGTCTATCACATATGCAACAGAAAGATTTGTGTGCCCAGTGTTACAGAGGCTAAAATCTATGAAGGACTGAATGCAATTGGGGACTGTAAATCACCAGGGACAGATAGTTTCAATGCTTTGTTTTTCGAGAGATCATGGCCCATTATCAAGAAAGATGCATGTGAAGCAGTGAAGGAATTCTTTGATACATGGATCCTAAGGCCATAAATTGCACCACTGTCACTTTTCCCTCAAAAGTTGCCAACCCAGATCGTAAAGGACTATCAACTCATAGCATGTTGCACAATATTGTAAAAGTTGATTGCCAAAGTCATAACTGGAAGAATGCAAAAAGTTATGAATCATATCATCACTGACTCATAAGCAGGCTTCAGTCCAGGGAGAAGAATAGCAGACAACATAATATTAGCTCATGAGCTGGTCAAGTCATACAACAGGAAGCATATTTCTCCTAGATGCATGATAAAGGTGGATATATAGAAGGCTTATGATTCTGTAGAATGGGTATACGTAGAGCAGGTTCTTAAGGGACCGGCTTTCCCTGAGAAATTTATAAAATGGATAATGGCTTATGTGACAACAGTTAATTACTCTATCTTATTAAATAGAGAATCAGCAGAGCCTTTTAATGCAGCTAAGGGCTTGAAGCAAGGGGACCCAATGTCACCATTCTTATTTGCTATTGCTATGGAGTATCTGAGTCGACTACTCAAAGGATTGAACCAAGATAAACAATTCAAATATCACCCTTGATGCAGCAAGCTTGGTATCACTCACTTGTGTTTTGCGGATGACCTTTTACTATTTGCTAGAGGAGACCTAGAATCAATGCAAAGGCTCCACCACTATTTCTGGACATTCTCATCTGCATCAAGATTACATGCTAATTTGTCAAAAAGTGCAGTCTATTGTGGGGGCATAGATCCTAGGCAAAAGGCAGCTATCATTCAAGCTCTTGGTTACACAGAGGGGCAATTACCCTTTAAGTACTTAGGGGTTCCACTGGATACTAAAAAGCTATCCATTCTTCAGTGGCCGCCCCTCATTACAAAAATGGTAGCAAAAATAACATCTTGGACAACAAAAAAATTATCCTATGCTGGCAGAGCTTAGTTGGTCCAAATAGTGCTGTTCGAAATACAATCTTATTGGGCTCAGTTGTTTACACTTCCAGTTAAGGTTGTCAAATTAATTGAGGCTTACTGCAGAAGTTACTTATGGTCTGGTGGAAATGTGCTTACCAAAAAATCATTGCTTTCTTGGGAAAAGGTATGTCTCCCTAAATCTGTAAGGGGACTTAACCTTATCAATCTGCAGGTGTGGAATAATGTTGCAATTGCCAAGACCTACTGGGATCTAACTCATAAGCAAGATAAATTGTGGATCAAATGGATCCATGCTTATTATGTTAAGCAGCAAAGGATTGATGATATGAGTATCCCTCATGGTGCAAGTTGGATGATCAGGAAGATTTTTGAAGCTAAATAGATAATCAATCAACTTCACAAGCCACTTGATGAGCAAAAGAGTATTATTAAGCATATATATTTACAATTGATACCAATTCACTCTAAGATGGATTGGAGATGCTTAATATTCCAGAACAATGCTAGACCTAAAGCCATATTTACTATGTGGCTACAGAACCATGGAAGATTGCTAACAAAAGACAGGCTGAAAAAATGGGGTCTCCATATGGATGAGATATGTGTGTTGTGCCAGGCTGATAAGGAAACAAGAGAACACTTGTTTGCAGAATGTTCATATGCCAACAGATTATGGAACAGGTTATCTCAATGGGCTCAAGTCCACTCCATTGTTCCTAACACTTGGATACAGTTCTTCCAGCTCATCATTCATCACTTGAAAGGGAAGACATCTTTAGCAATGCTACTTAAAATGATGTATGCTGAATACATACATGTGCTATGGAGAGAAAGGAATACTCGAATATTTAAGGGTGCAAGTAGAGAACATGAAGCACTGGCAAGGGAGGTTGTGAGCATATATTACTTTGGGGCAGAAAAGAAAGTGAAGGGGCTCATACCACATTTATACTTTTGACAAAAAAAAAAATAAGAAGAAAAGTAGTCATAGTGTTTTTGATTTGAGTTTATTAGATTATACATGTATAGGGTTAGAAGGAACATACAGTGTTAGATCTAGGGTAATCATTGTAGATAGCTGAAATTGCTATGCTATGATTTGTAATGTTTTCCTTGGTGATTAATAATAATTTTAATTACCAAAAAAAAAAATATATTTATGCAGCAAAGAAAGATGGACTGCATAATACTCAAAGAATGACTAACTATATATATTAAACAAGCTTATAAATGCGAAAAGTTTTCAAGCATGTAGCTAATGAAAGTTAATTATTTATGGAATATTGATAATTTATATGCTCTTTTAAATGTTTTGCAGGAAAATAGACAGAGGGCGAGGCTAACTGATGCCAATTCTGGAGCATGTCTTGAGTGCTAGATTAGATTTATCGATGCATATGATTTTGTGTTCTGCAAATTAAATTGGATATGATACTTTGTGTGCTTCCTCTCTTTACTGGTGTACATTCCCTCAAGGAAATCTCATATTTTTGATATTCCTGTGTTACGTACATTCCCTCAAGGAAATCTCATATTTTTGACATTCCTGTGTTACTTTTAATTGTTCTCGCTTGGTCATATCTTAGTTTACATGGCTTCTTCACTTTTTATTAAATTAAAGTAAAGTGTATCAGAATATTTCATATTCCATAAACAATATATGTCGGGCCCGAACCTTTGCCCGGGCAACACATATCTAGTTTAAGTATAAAATTGACCTTAATTTAAAAAATCTAGACTAGCAATTCGATTTTGAGCAACAACAACAATCCAATAGAATCCAAAAGTAGGATTTGAAGAGTGTAATGTGTACGCAGACCTTACCCTTACCCTAGAGAGATAGAGAGGTTGTTTTAGAAAGACCATCGGCTCGAGATGAAGAATAGAAACAAGTAAATATCAATAACAAGGTCAGGAAATGATACCAGCAATGTATGAACTGGGAAAATCAAAAAAGTAATAGAAATAGCAACAAGCATTAACACAACAAGGTAATAGAAAATCAAAGCAGAAGATAGTACTAAAAACAACCATAATACTAACACTCTAAGAATCGAAGACAATGTACTAGTCGGCTAGCCCTCATAAACATGGAACAGATCAGAATAACACACTACGGCCTATTACCCTTCTACCCTAATTTTTCACCTCCATATCCTCCTCGATTTTGAGCAACTATACTTTAAATTTTTTATAAATTTTGATTATTCTTTAAATAGGGGTCTTAAGCTATTTGTGCACTTCGCCCGACTCGATGTCCAACTGTTATAAAACCCAAGTCCATTACTTAAACCCAAGGCCCAAAAGCCCATAAAACTTAGGGTCTCATTTGCTGGCTATCCTCTCCCATATATATAAACAAACAAAAACCTAGATAGGGTTTTTATCCATCGTTCACAGCTTTTACCAAATCGCAAAAATGGTGAAATTCCTTAAGCCAAACAAAGCCGTAGTCGTACTCCAAGGGCGCTACGCCGGGAGGAAAGCTGTGATTGTTCGAGCCTTTGACGATGGGACACGTGACAGGCCGTACGGTCACTGTTTGGTCGTCGGCGTATCGAAATACCCAAAGAAAGTGATTCGTAAGGATTCTGACAAAAAACAGGCGAAGAAATCACGGGTTAAGACTTTCATTAAGCTCGTTAATTACAATCACATTATGCCTACGCGTTACACATTGGATGTTGATTTGAAGGAAGCTGTTACTGTTGATTGTCTTCAGTCACGTGATAAGAAGGTTACTGCTGCTAAAGAGGCGAAAGCTAAGTTTGAAGAGCGATTTAAGACTGGGAAAAATCGCTGGTTCTTTTCCAAGCTTAGATTTTGAGTTGATTTTGCTCTTTATTTGGTAATTTTGCTGTTCTGATTATTGAGTATTTTGCTTTGATTTTGTTTTGTTTAAACGACATTTGATTTGAAATGATAGATCTGTGTTTTATCTTTAGTTATTGTTGTTCACGAGACTAATGTTTTCTATATATTGATGTTCTGCTTGATAAGTGGTTTGTGGATTGACATTTCTATTGTTTTGCTGGAAATGAACATCACCACTCGTAATGGATTTAGGTTATATACACTGTAGATTTTATACTATTCACTGTATTATCATTTCTTTAGACCAACAAATTAAGATTTAAGTTATATTCACTGTTTGTTATAGGTCATTTACTCATTTAAGCTAAAGATATAAAGAAACAAACACGAACTCGTTAATTAAATTGCTTTCTGAGGCGTTGCGTGCATTGTTCTATTAATATTCAATGGACGTGTCAAGGAAAGCATAGAATAATGTCCATCCAAACTGATTCTTGTGATTTCAGCGAACTGATTTCTTATCTAGTTGGCTTGATAGGTGGATTGCAACATGTAATAATTTGAAAGTGCATTTTCTGGCTGGGCTCAAAGAAATCAATTTTAAGTTCCTGAAAAGAAGTAACCTCGGCATTCTGCTCGTATGTTTTTGTTCCCGGGCTCAGACAACTTTTCCCCACTTGTGGGATTCCACTGGGTGGTGGTTGTTGTTGTTGGTGTTGTTGTATGTTTTTGTTTGTGTATATGTGGTTGCTTCATATGGTGAACTCTCTCTTAAAATTGAAGTGAGGGGTGTTCAAGTTTCCGAAGCATAAATGAATTGTCAGTATTAAACAGCATGGTGTTTATATCAGTTGCACCTTGCTACCTGTCTCCTGCTACATTCAATATTGTCATTTCCATGTTTTAGGATACTCTATAGTAGATCTTGTAAAGTAATGGTTTAGATGCTTTCTCATTCCTAATACTGAATGAACATGTTTTTAAAATTATAGCAAGTGCAATTTACAGTATAGCTATTAGCACTGCATAGTTAAATTTGATGTTATTAATACGGGATCATTTGTTAGACAGTAGTAAATTGTGCTGAGGCTCAAGGAAGCTGTTACTGTTGAAACCCTTTAGTCAGGTGACAAAAAGGTGTCTGCTGCTATAGAAGCTAAGCCAAGTTGACTTACCAAGCTTAGGTTTTGAGTTGTTTATTTGGTAATTTTCTCTTCTGGGTATCAAGGAATTTGTTTTTTCTTGTTTTGATTAAACAACATTGGATTCGAAATGATAGATCTGGTTTTATCTTTAGTTAGTATCTGCTTTTTGTGAGAGGTTTGTGGACTAATCTTGAAATTGCTTTGATGGAAATGAAAATGACTACTCGTAATCCCTATAAAAGTATTTTTTATTGTAGGTCATTTAATCAACTTTGTCAAGAAGTTGAACACCATTTTTGTATACAAGTTAAACATATAAAATTAAATCGCTTTCTTTGCGTTACTTGTGCTGTTCCATTAATATCCAATGGACGTGTCGAGGGAACCATAGAATAATGTCAATCCAAACTGGTTCTCTATTGATCCAAGTGAACTGATTTGTGCATATCTAGTTTGCTTGATAGTTGGATTGCAATATGTAATTCCCAAATAGTGCATATTCTATTTGTGCTTGCAGAAATCAATTTTTAGTTCTTCAGAAGAAAACTCGGTCACTTGTTTGTGTTTGTCAACCCGGTCCTTGTACCTAGCATAGTTTCATATTCAGTCAAAACATGTATTTTAAACTTCCTTTGACATTGACTGAGCTTATGTGGTAGTATTTGTTTTGCTGAGTCAAAAAAATAAGTGGTTACACGCTCTAAATTGCAGAGTGGATGTACTAATTTTAATTTAGAAATATTATAAATCATAAAAATAACAATAAAAAGCAAAAAAGAGTAAAATAATTGCGCTACCTTCTTTCGGCCCAACTTGTCTTGAACCCCTTCCTTGTCTCCCGTTTTTCCCATCTGCTTCTCCACCTCCTT